TCAAAATCAGGACTTGTTTAATTCGCGGTTCGCACCCTACAATGCAAATGCTGTCGATTTATTAGTGTCTCAGAAGAATGTAGATATAAAATAAAACACTAGTGATTAATCGGAAACTTTAAGTGTCTGGCACTTGTTTTTGTTATAGCGACACGGATGAAATTAACCTAATTCGTCGGAGCAAAGCAGACGGCGCTAATTGCTTGATGATGGCATTTCGTTGACACCTTTAAGAAATGGAACATCCCATTTAACGAAAATAATATTTGTTTTAAATTATGTATATTTACTAATATATCAATAAGTCCCAAAAACAATTTCGCTTAATGTTGTAGTAATCAGGACTACAACATCAAGCTGAATTGTTTTTGTCTTTTATGCAATGCGTTATATTTCGTATACAATCTCTCCATTTCTGCTATTGGAAACTTAATATTTCTATTTTCGTGTGCCAATAACCGAAAATCTCTTAATAAAATTAAAAAGACAAATAAAGTACGTTTCTTTTCGTAACAACCTTCAAAAGATACCTCTTCTTACGTCATCATTAAAAATCAGTCAACCGTGCTAAAAATATTGTAGCAGTGGTGCCTTAGCTACTATAACATAAATGCCATTTGAAAACTATCAAACGATATGTTTGGGTATTTGAAATAGTTAAAAAAAGATCGCACGAAAATGTTCCCCACGCAGAATCCATTTTTTTAATATGGCAACCTAACAATTACTGCCAATTTCCAGTCAATAAAAATACTTGTTATGAAACGACGAAAAAAAAAACTATGATTCGGATTAAAAACCGAAATCATAATTTTAAGAACAAATAAAGCATGAAGTGACTTGTACCGAAGTTTATTAAATAAATTATGGATGATAGATATATCGAATTAAATTAAAAAAACAACAAAATAAAAAAAAACTCATTACCATATTTTAAATATTAAATAATACTACATAAAGACAATTGAATGCTAAATAATGAATAAAATTTTATAACTTGATATTATTTAAATCTAATAATTCCACAAGGCAATTGAAAACATTTTTACTTTTTTTTTTAGAATGTAATGAAGAGAACGAATTTGTATAGGTAGAGGATTTTGAAAATTTAACAAAGTATTAAATAATGACGTTTGATCATATAAATGACACGAAAAGAAAATATGATTGAGGTCACCAGTGTCTAAACCACATTCACATACTGAAGAATTTTTAATATGAAGCGTAGCAAGGTGAAGCGCATTCTGCATAACATTGATGTATGTTTCTTTTTTAAGGATAATTTATAAAACCAAGGCTTAGAAGGAATGGTGGGTTGAATTTTGGACTAGTGACAGCCGTTTTTCGTTTTGGTTTTGTTCCAATGTTTTGACCATATATCTCTATATAATAACTGCGTAGTCCCTTTAAGGTCATAGCAATAATTTTTAAATAATAAAGTATCCCCCAGACTATAGCTTGTTTAGCAAGTTTGTCAGCGTATTCATTGCCAGATACCAATATGACTCGGAATCCAAACAAGAGAAATGTTGATGTTTTGGAATTGGTATAAGAATAGAAGTTCCTTAATTTCAAATATCAAAGGATTGCGGGAAATGTCACAAAAAGGATTGCATAACAATGCCTGTAAAGAATTAGGAGAATCTGAAAATCCATTTTTTCAGTGAAACGCAATGTAATAATTTATATCGAAAAAATATATGAAGAGAAATTTGAATTTAGAACCAGCGTAATTTTAATTGTTTATAATCATTTTTTTGAAATAATTTTTAACTGACCAGTGTGTAATACAAAAAAGACGTAGACTTTTTACGTGATGTATTACTTTCCCAAACTCATTCCTACCTATCGTTATAAATATCCAGACGTAAAGCATTTTGATATGTTAGCAAATTTAAAGCATAATTTTTATTGCAATAAATGTTCCAAACGGTACGTTGGCGTCAAGGCAACAACGCAATCTCTTGAGATTATCTCGAGCGAAAACGAACAAAAACAACTGTGCATTCTTCACGTCTCTCAACTTTTTACATTTTATCGTAAGTACTTATGTACTCTCGTGCAAGTATTGCGATTAATCGCTTAAGTATTTAAATCTTTAGGATTTATTTTTATTAAAGGTTATTCACATTTATTGATGGAGGCGTATGTATATACACAGCAGTTAAAACTCAGTAGGCAAATACATTCCTAAAAGAAAAGGAATTTATTAGCTTTGCCTATTTAAATTTATTTTATCGTCCAGTTATACAATTTGGTACGTGATTTGCCGAGGCATTTTATAATTTGATTTATAATTTGGCTTATAATTTATGACCGCGACTTCTATTTAAATTGTCTAAAACACGAAAATAATATCAGCGTTAATAGGTTGAGGTGAGAATGGATGACAAGATACGACTAATTTTATAATTTATATTTGGTGTTTTACAAAACGTTTACGTAATACGACTTCATTTGTATAATGACGAACATTTTTAATAATTTATTTTTAGAATTGTAGCAAGAAAAATTAAAATCTGACGCAGATTAAAGGGCACTTATATATTTTGTGTGTACACAGTCTAGTATTTCATAAACTGAGATCGACTTTGCAGTGAGTCAAACCAATCAAAAATAACTCAGTCGTCGACGATTTGGGTCGCTCTTCGCTGGATGCAATCAAGTTGAAAAAGCTTGGGCCTTAGCCCAGGATGAGAACAGTAATCCATTTGGTGCCGTATTTGCTCGTCTTAAACTTGCATGCGGTGTTCCAACTTGAAATACTGTCCAATACTCCCCTTAAAATTCCCTCGATACATTAACGCCGACAACTTCACTGCCAGCTGAGGCAGCAAAGGGAGAGCCTTTTTTTTTTGCATGGGGAAATGCCTACGCATACCCGCCTCGCGTGGGCAAGGACGGGTTATGTCGGACTCGCACCGACTAAAACCCCATGGTGTTCCACCTTTGTCGCATATTGGCAGGGCTACGGGAACGCTTTCGCACACATCCGCGGCCCTACTAGCGCCTGCCGCCCCATGGCAGCACCTCCTCGGGAGAGGAAAATTCCTCCCCGTTCTCCTTCCCAGGTAAGGCGCACCAGAACACATGGCGCGCCTTCCTCCACGGCCTCCAACTACGTCTGTGCAACAGACGCCCCCGCATCCGATGCACAAAGGCCATGGGGCCAGGAAAAACGAGCACTTAGAAGTACTAGCCTTCCCGACCCCATCGGCGGATCTGGTCTATGGCTCCGCCGCCAACCAAGATTCGGCTGCGGAGGGTAGGAGAGAGCGGCGCCTCGCAATAACGACAATCCTCTCCCCCCCGCAGCCCCACCACCACCGCATCAACGGTGCGGCCCCGTTTGAGTCGCGAAGGATAGGGCGAGTGGCGCATCGCCATACCAACACTCCTCTTCCTCCGCGACTCCACCTCGGCTGCAGCGGTAGAGGGTGCGCGAGTCCCCACTCGCTGCAGTCCACCAGCACACATCCGAAGTGGGCTCCCCAAGCCCACTCGGAGCGGCCACCTCAGGCCGGCCCTTCACCTCGGGCCAGCCACGTGGGTTCCTCTTTGTTCACCGTGGGAGACCAAGCCACGGCTACTAAGCCCCCCCGCCACGACAAGGCGGGAACCCGTTCGGGGGGGAAAGGGAGAGCCCTGGAATTGAGAAAATATGGCAAAGGGTTTGAAGCGGTTAACGTGCAAACCTGTGCCTGCTTACGATAAAATCAAACTAAATATATTAGCCCCTACACTGAGACTTTGTTTCACAAAGACCCGAATTCAGAAGCAAATGTGTTACATCACTCGACGACGTGTTATTGAGAAATGAGCAATGAGGTTTTATGTGAAATTTATGCAGTATTTTTTTATAGGATAAGGATGACTAACGAGCACACAGTCCACCCGCTGGTAAGTAGTTACTGCGGCCCATAGACATCTACTCCTATCCACGATTACGAATCAAAATTCAGTTACGTTGTCACCCATGAGGACTAAGATGGATTGCCTCGTTTCCAGTAAAAAGGGTCTCCGGTTCTCTACACTCATTATACGAAACGCAGCAGCGTTAAACTGCTATTTTACCCTGGTATTCTATGAGAGCGTGATCCTTCCCCGGTTGAGCCGACCCAATCGTGCTACAATTATATCAGTAATATAGCTGCAACATGGTTCTACCATGTACCATTGATAAGCAAAAAAAAAAACAACAGTAGCACGTGGCCTTGTGGAGTACCAGCATTCACAGACTTGAAAGGAGACAATTTCTGTTTGTATCCAGAATGGGTGGACACAAATTGTGGCATGTGTGTGAAACATTGAGAATTTAACAATTAAAATATGAATATAACAAACACCTAATAACAAATCAAAGCGATTCTTTCGTAGATTTCACCTGTTTTTAAAGTTAAAAGTGAGTTCTCCCTGCACCGCGGAACGATACAGACGCGCATACTGTGTTTTGGTATACAAAAAAATCGTGAATGATTGAAACCTAGAAATCAAAGTGATACTAATCCTCTGGCCTTACACTGACAAAATAAACATTAGTGTTGTCTTTTTATGTAAATAAATCTGTACAAATTACATTTTTAAGATGGTGGATTACAAATAAAATTGTTCAAACTGCTAATAACGGCTTACTAAGCATAGGATCACAAATTTCGCGCAATTTTCCCGCGATTAAACGGTAAAGTGTATACAGTGCTTGTCGCTTAATCCACCGAAGTGAGTTCAAACCCGAGTTAAAACTTGTAACTACTTTTTTCATTACATCATCACTTATTTTCGATTAATTACTATTTCATAGTAATAATAGATTTAATTTAGTAATCTTTGCATTAAAATTTAACAAAATGTAAGGAAATCTGCAGTAGCATACAAACGATATATACGATATATAGTGGCAAAATAAAATATAACATTACTCCCCAAGAGCGTGAAATTTCTGCCAAAATGTCTCATAAATGCGCTGGATGCAAAAATTCCTTACTTAAAAAGGAATATTTACAATGTGCACATGCAAGTCGAAGTACGATATGGAGTGCGCAAATATTAGCCATAAATCCCTCAACTTGATGGAACGCAAAAACAAGTGGAAGTGTCCATTGCGTGTATGTATTCAGCCAAAAGAAGGAAATGTAAATACCCCTGTACGCAGTACTGCGACAATAATAGATAGAATGACGGAACAGGAAACAAATATCTGTACGAAACCGCACGATTTAACGTATGACGACAATAATGTTACACAACGTGCTAAGATCACTAGACCTTCTTCGTCTAGTGAACAAAGCAGTTCAGTGGCTGAAAAGAGTGGGCACAGTAATATTCCCTATAGTGCTATGTTGGACGACTTAAAACTATTTATAAAAGAATTACTACACACCCAGATGGTTAGTATTCGCGAGGCGATAGTCGGGCTAACTACAACAATTACAGCTCACCGCTAAATCCATAAATACCGGAAAAGAAGAATTATTTGTAACTTTTATTAACTACTCGCCTGATATCCTTGCCCTTAATGAAACCTAGCTAGATGCAGGAGAAAAGGCACTGGCACCAGTGATACCGAATTACACATTTATACATAGAGCAAGACAGGTTAAAAAGGCGGAGGAGTGGGCTTCTATGTAAGACAGAATATAAGTACAAGGATACGAAAACATCCAAGATCTCCACTGGAACAAATGTGGCTAGAAGTTCAACTATCAGGAACCACTATAGCAATCGGTACACCATATAGACCGGAGTATGTTAGTGTTCACGAAACTCTAGATGCACTTAGTGAGACAATGAACTCTATGGCACGATGTGACATCACATGAATCCTGGGCGATTTCAATATTGATATGGCTTGTGAAAGCTCATCAAAGGTGAAAGAACTTAAGCATTTTTGTTATCATCACAGTCTTCAGCAATTCGTAAAGGAACCGACTAGAATCACCGACCATTCCCAAACCATAATAAACCTCGTTATGACTGGCAGCCCTATAAAATGCAAAAATATTGATGTGATATATAACCACTGTGTAAGTGACCATGCATTATTAATTGTAGATTTAGATATCAAAAAACTCAAATTAAATAAAGAATTAAGATTTCAACGACCATTATATTATATAAATCAAGATAAGTTTACAGAGGACTTAAAACTTATTCCCTGGGAATCTATATATACTCTACATAATGAAGATGAAATGGTTAAAACTTTTAATCTGTATATTATAAAATTATTTGACATACGTGTACCAATTCATAAGGTTGTTCTCAAAGATAAGCCTAAACCATGGATTACAAACATGGTTAATTTTTTTTTTCATTTATTTTGGCAACAAACAGTCATATTTCTTAATATATAATTTACATTTTACATTTACACTTTACAAAAAAAGACCAAGTAGTGCCAATAAATATACATTAACAAATCATATTATTTACATTATGAGACAACATAGTCGGGCAACAAATTTTACTGCAAAAACTTTTTTAACTTTGTTTTAAGAAGATTAGGACTAGTGCTAAAAAGATCTATTTCTGAAAAATGTTTGTTATACATGTTGGTGGAACGACATATATAAGAGTTACGTGTATAGTTAACTTCGTTAAATTTATGATGAAACTTCGCGATAAAGCTCTAATGAAAGCGCAGAAAGTCAAAAAAGACAGCTCGAAAGATTATATCTGAAATTTAAGAAATTTTGTTACTGCAACAATTGAAAGAGAACGAAAAGCCTACTATAATAATTTTGTAAATACCAGTATGAAAAATCCGACTCTACTTCGGAAAAACATAAAAAAAAACAGTACCCAGTTTTATTACATGCACAAATCCATAATTTCTGAACATATTAATGACCCCAATAAAATCAACGACCACTTTTTGAATTTACCAGTCTGTAACGAAACAGTTGTTCAAAAAAACTTCACTAGTTTAATTGATACACCAGAGCTTGACATGATGGTCCTAAAATCTACTACAGAACAGGAAGTAAAAGTTATTATTGATAATATAAATACCAATGCAGAGGGACACGATGGCATTAGTATAGGAATAATTAAGTTGACTCTAGATGTGACTCTTCCTATTATTAGGAGGATACTGAATAAGTCAATTGAAACAACAGAAATTATGGATTTGTGCATGTAATCAAACTGGGTACGTTTGATTACATGCACAAATCCATAATTTCTGAACATCTTAATGACTCCAATAAAATCAACGACCACTTTTTGAATTTACCAGTCAGTAACGAAACAGTTGTTCAAAAAAACTTCACTAGTTTAATTGATACACCAGAGCTTGACATGCTGGTCCTAAAATCTACTACAGAACAGGAAGTAAAAGTTATTATTGATAATATAAAGACCAATGCAGAGGGACACGATGGCATTAGTATAGGAATAATTAAGTTGACTCTAGATGTGACTCTTCCTATTATTAGGAGGATACTGAATAAGTCAATTGAAACAAATACTTTTCCATCATGTTGGAAAAGAGCACTGGTAAGGCCCATATCTAAAAAAATTCTCCTATCGAAATAAAAGACTTGCGTCCTATTTCGATTTTGCCAGTACTATTTAAAGTTTTAAAAAAAGTAGTGTTAAATCAAGTGCTGAACTACTTAGAAACCAAAGATATAATATCTAAATTTCAGTCGGGCTTTCGCAGGGGTCATAGTACAGAAATTGCACTTTTACATATCACAGGCAACCTGACCGAGGCTTCGGATATGGGGATGAGTAGTATAATGGTATTACTTGATTATTCTCGAGCATTTGACTGTTTGCAAACTAAACTACTTTTAGATAAGCTAAGTTGCTATGGATTTTTAAAGAATACACATATTTGGTTTCACAGTTTCCTCGCTAATAGAGAACAAATGGTAGAAAATGACGACAAATATGGAGAAATAAGACGGTCGTGTCTCAGGTCAGTTCAGCGCGGCGTGCCTTAAGGCTTTCTACTTAGTCCAGTCCTATTTACAATTTTTACAGCAGATCTACCTAGGCATATAAAGTTTTGTAAATATCACTTATATGCTGATGATACACAACTGTACTACTCGTTTTACAGTAGAGACGCTCGAGAAGCTATTGAGAAAGTTAATGATGACCTGAGAAGTATCCACACATGGTCTGAAAATAACTCTTTGGTTCTCAATGCAGCTAAATCTCAAATGTTGGTCTTAGGCACTAAACGCAAAATAAAAAATATATTAGACGTTGGTGAAAAAGTAAAAATAAATAATGTTATTCTGGAACAAGTAACTTCTGCCCGTAATCTTGGCCTAATTTTAGATGGGGAACAAAAATTTTTGATCACGTTAATAACAAAATAAGGACAGCATTTTTCAAGCTGAAAACGCTCTACTAAATCAGACCATATCTTAAGGAGGATTTACGGATACTTTTATGTGATACTCTGGTACTATTTCAATTTAATTACTGCAGTTCCACCTTTGGTCCAAGACTAAAGTTTAACACAGAGAGGTTTTTGAAAAACTCCTATGGATCAAAGACATTTCACATAGAAGTCTTCGTACGAACTCGTTAAACATGTTTAGTATGCCAAAACATAAAACAACGCGGTACAAAGGATGTTCAAATTTGTTGCAGCAAGGATATGGAACGATTTGCCCCCTCCTATGAGAAATAAAATGAGTAAGGAAAGCTTCAAAGCTAAATATAAATCAGCATTGCTGAAGCGGCAAATTGCTGCAGAAAACTTGAAACATACCTACTGGAAATACATAATTTAAGAGACTTTTTTTAACATTATGATATAACCCTTATAAAACATCCCCGTGTATTATAAACAGCACAATCACACACACACACACACACACATACACACACACACACACACACACACACACACACACACACACACACACACACACACACACACACACACACACACACACACACAAACACACACACATACACGAATGCAAGAATTATTAATTGACAATTATGAAATTTCATAACCATACCATGTTAAATTCCAATGATGAGTAAATGAAAGAAGAGGTGATTGGGGAACTCGAAATTCTCGTAACACCCTTGTAACATCTCAGGGAAGAAGAAGGAGTGCCTGAAAACCAGCGCTTCATGGGATCTAGTTCCATGTAAGCAAAAGCTGAGTCACCTCCGTTTGCCTACATTAAATTAAGATTAAATAATTAGTTTATATGTAAAAATGTTTTTTTAAAGTGGCAATAAAATGATATTTATTTATTTATTTATTAAAATAGTACACTGTAAAATAATTAATTATACAGATAATATTAGTTACTTTGCAATAATCCGCTTAATTAAATAAAATGATCATTCATTCTATTTAATTAAGCGGATTGTTGCAAAGTAACTATTAATATCTTTATTATAATGGATTTCCGCAAATAAACGCTTGATTCTATCAATTATCATAATTGATAATATGAAACAACGTTGTTGGTATATTCAGTATCTATAGGTATTTTAAAGTTTATGGAAAATCTTTCAGTAGTTTCAGAAAAACATTGTGCACAGACAATCGAGACAAGTAACAAATACTCAAACGGTGGTCTCTGTTCTGAACGCGATTTCTACACAGATGACGGTTAGGTTGCTCACAAACACAACATCAGTGATTCATGTTCATTACTATTATAATATCATATATTTTAAAGCCCTGAAAAACATCATGTGAGTGCTAAAGGGCTTATAATTAAACATTACCTAGTTTTTTTTCCATATAAGCAAAGGTTGACAAACGAGCACATAGACCACCTGATGGTAAGTAGGTGCTGCGGTCCCTACATCTATCCTCGATTAAGAATCCAAATACTCGTACAGATGCGTTGTTATCCCTGAGAATTAACGTGGAAAGCCTCGTTTATAATATAAAAGATTCTTTGGTTCTTTACGCTCACCAGACAGAGAAACTACAGAGGACGGCAGGTTTTAGGCCTAGTCTTGAGAACGAACCGCTGCAAATAATATCGCTCCTAAAATATCCTCACAAATTATGATCTATTGTATCTGAATTAATCACCGATTAAAACGCCTCTACTAATAAAGGTGAAACAGATATTAATATTACTCATTTTGTTACTGTTCCCCACGCTGTCAGCCCCTATTATTTACGGTTCTAAGCCGCAAAAAGCGGACAAAAACGACATTTAAATTACCCCGATCACTTAGCTACGGTCGGCACTATAAACTTATACACATGGGCTGTTCTCAAAAACTACTTAGAATTCATTAAGTATTCATCAAATGTTTTCTTCCTCATTTACAAAATATACCAATCATTTAGGCAAAATCAAGTGTACTCAACTTGGGTTTTTTATTTATGTATCAATGATTACTACATAGATACTTCTTTAGATTTATATCAATGTAATACGCGAATGAAGAAAAAAATTGTAACGGATGTGAGAAACCTGAAATTGCATGCCATAGCAGA